ACATGTTCATTGGTTGATTCCCATATGTGCCCTGACCTGGGATTGAATCTGCAACCTAGGTGCATCTCGACGATGCTCCAACCAACTGAGCCACCTGGTCTAGGCTGTGAATTTACTTTTCAACTGTCTATTTTATGAATTCTATCTACAGATAAAGCCTTTCCCTTGAAAACTTAGCATCCAAGTTGAGATGTGCTTTGCACTGGCCAGGCAGCTCCATTGGTTAGAGCATCATACCAATATGCCAGGGTTGCGGGTTTGATCCCCAGTAAGGGCACTTACAAGAATCAATCAATGAATCAACCAATAAATAAGCAGAAGAACAACTCTCTCTCTCATAAAAAAATAAATAAAATAAAATAAGTTGAAATGCACTAAAGTTTTTTTATATTTATTTAATTTTTAGAGGTGGGCAAGGGAGAAAGAGAAGAAGAGAAACATTGATGAATGAGAGGAACATCGACTGGTTGCCTCTTGCACACCCGCAACTGGAGACCTGGCAGGAAACCCAGGCATGTGCCTGACTGGGAATCAAACCAGAAACCTTTTGGTCTGCAGAGCAGCACTCAACCCACTGAGCCACACCAGCCAGGGCACATTTTTGTCATTTGAAGCCACCAAGATTGTGAGGATTTGTTAAGGCAGCCCTAGGAGGCTTATACAGTTAGATGTCCCACCTTTGCTTGGAGTTAAATTAATTCTCTAACTCTGTTCCACAGCTTATTCTGCAGGCAACTTGATCTTTTAATGCCTCATAGATTCCATTCTGACCAACTGTGTGGATGACATCATGTTGATAAGACCTAAAAACCAGGAAGGAACAGATTGATACACTGTATATCTTATCAAGACACACACAGGTCAGCACTGGCTAGGTAGCTCAGTTGGTTGGGGCATTATCCTCCTACCCCGAGGTTGTGGGCTCGATCCCTGGTCAGGGCACAGACAAGAAGCAACCAGTGAATGCAGAAATAAGTGGAACAACAACTACCTATCTCACTCCCTCTCTAAATTAAAGAATAACAGAGAGCATGGAAGATAAACCTGAGGGAAATGAGGAAGCTGATCAAGGCAGGGGAGTTACTGAGAACACAGCAACTGAGGACAGTGGGACTATTGCACATACCCAGATGAATTTACTACATCTTGAACCCTCTGTCACTAACAAATGAGGTAAAATCTTCATTCTTTAGCTTGCTTTCTTCTCACTTAGAAGACACTCATAAATAACTCATATTTGCCGATGAATGAATGAAACTTTCCGAAGAAGCCAGGGTATGGAGAGACGTGTGTAAGAATGTGCCTTCCAGAGTTCAGTGAGCCATTTTAGTGAATTATTAAACCTGGGAGGGAGTCACGGGGATCCCCACTTAGAAGTAGGGGAGGCATGGGAGATGTGCTTCGCGTCTGAAGTGGGGGGTGGCCTTGGGGCACTGAGCCCTTAACCCGCAGGGGTCTGACGCTAACCCTAGGTGAGCATACCCCGATTCAGAAATCGAATCGCTGGATACTCAGCTGTTGTCCTGAGAGTTGGAGAAATGGCTGCTGGTGTGAAACAAAGAGACACACCCTCACATAGGGTGTCAGGAGTGAAAAACAATTCACCTGTATCCCAGGGGAAGGTCCTGCCTCTCAAACTCTCACGGAGAATGCATTTAAGCCATCTGGTAGGTTGACCAGATGACCAGACCTCTCTGTGGCTCCATCAGCATCTTTCTCTGGCCTCCCTGGTGCTTGCTTAATGGGTTCATCAGTATTCAGTGATTCACCCAAGTTTAGCCAGCAAGGTCACTCATACTGACAAAGGCCCACCTTCCTGGCAGAAGCAAGCAGTGTTAACTGCCCCCTCCCCTCCACTATGGGATGATTTCTTAGGGAGACCAGCCAAATACCTGGTCATCAGAGAATTACATGGAGCCCCTTCCACCATGGATGGGGCAGCGAGATTCTTCCTCCCTAGAATAATTTTATCTCCCGGCTGTATTTGCTTTTCTGCCCTTCCACGCTGCTGCCAACAGCAGCACCTGGGCCTGCACTCAGTGGCCCTGTTCACCGTCTCATTAACCCACACAGTATCGCTTCTGATCAGGGAACTCCAATTACGAGGAAGTCAGTGGGCGGGTCCACGTCCCCCATCGTCCCGGAGCAGCTCACCTCAGAGAACAGAGGCGAGGCGTGTTTGAGGCTGGGCAACAGTGCCAGGCTGCAGGCAGCATCGTGGGGGGTCAGGGTCTCGTTCCCCCAGGATGGGCAAACACTCCGAACCAACCTAGGAACCCGAAGGTTTCACTTCCCTGGATCACACCCAATGAGTCATTCTTTAAATGTTTGCTTCTGGTCCCCCTGCCCTGAACTCCGCGGCTGTGTGTTGTAATACCTCAAGGGGGAAAGGTTTCTACCAGCGAACGCAGAGCGTATGTTGTGTGAGTGCAGACCGCCCCGGCACTTTTCCGGGTGTCTCAGGAGGGCCACCGTGGGGTCAGGCAGAGAGAGTGATGGATTTGGGCAGGAAGGAGAGGATGGGGAGATACTGCTGCCCTGGGGGCCCGGGAAAGGTGTAAGTAAGGTTTGGGGATGTCCCTGGAAAACCTCTAACTAATGCCACGTTAATGCCACGTCCTGATTTTCATCTGTCCTGATGTAGGGTGTTTTTTTTTTTTAAAGATTTTATTTATTTATTTTTAGAGAGAGGGGAAGGAGAAAGAGAGGGAGGGAAATACCAATGTGTGGTTGCCTCTTGTGCATCCCCCACTGGGGACCTGGCCCTCAACCCAGGCATGTGCCCTGACTGGGAATTGAAACACGACCCCTTATTCGCAGTCCAGCGCTCAAATCCACTGTGCCACACCAGCCAGGGCTTGATGCGGGGTTCCTGAGGACCCCTTCCCTACGCAGGACAGAGAATGAGACAGGGTCTGTACCTACCCACTTTGCAGGGGCACAAAAATGGGCACACAGGCTCCACATCCTACCCACCCCCCATTTCTGCAGAGGTCCCAGCATCCAGGCACCCCCCCCCGCCCCTCCCACCTCCGCAGGGCTTGCAGCAAGGTTTACGATGCTCCCGGACCCTTTCCCACCCCTCCCTTCCCTACTCGAGCTGCTCTCACTGCGGGGCTGGTTCTGCAAGCCTCGTCCAAGCACGCAGCGGCAGCAGCTAGGCCAGCAGAGGGTTAGCTCCGCGTTACAGAGCATCTTCATCCGCCACCAGGCCCCGCCTCGCAGCGGCAGCGAGCCAGGTCGCGCAGAGGACGACTACAGAAGGTGGTGAGTGCACAGGCCCTGCGGTGAGGGACCTCAGCGGCCTAAACCCTGCCCCACCCGACCCAGGGCCCGGCAGCAAGGCCTTCAGTTCCCGCTGGCTTCTTGGCTCTGTCAAGCGGTGTCAGGGCCCCAGAGCCGCCCCCAGAAAAGGACCCCACAGCCCCGCCCTGCTCCGGGTCGTCAGACCCGCTCCTACGGCCCCTCCCCTCTTGCAGGAACCTGGAATCTGGCGCCCCCAGTCCCGGTCTTCATTAAGCTTTTGAACCCCTCCCTCTTTCCAGGAGCCAGGAATGCAGGCCAAAAATATCTCTCCCTTCCGGACCCATGAGGCTCCGCTTGCAACCACATCTGCTCTGGAAACCCAGGCGTCTAAGCTTTGATTGCTCTTTCAAGCCAAGGATATGGGTCCCCAGCCTGGGCGTCTTGTGGAACCCGGGAGTCGGTGCTCCCAACTCCTACCGCCCTAGTTCCCAGGAATTTTGCTGCCAACATCCGCCCCCCCTCCCCCGACTCTATGGACGGTGACATCAGGGACCCAGCGGTCCAGCCCGCCAGTCCTTGCACCGCGAGTCCCGGTGAAAATAACGATCAGGGGACCCTCGGATCCTTAGGGACAGGAATCCGACCACTGTTATTTTGGGGACCTAGGAGTCAGGGACCTCAGCTCTGAAACCTCCCGAAAGCTGGGGAACCTCTATCCTTTTTAGACACCTAGGAGACAGAGATCCTAGACCCTGTTAAACTGAGGCCCGGTCGCCCACCCCCTGAGACCCAGATGTCCCATGATTTCATCCATCCTGACAGGCTGGGCTGGAGCAGACGGGGAGGGAGAGGGCAGCGAGGCCGAGGCAAGAGTGAGGTGACACAGGGGCGGGACCTAAGCTGAGGGTCTCGGTCCTAAACAAAAGCTAAACACGCGGGTTGCCATGGCAACGGCCTTCCGGGGCCTCCCCTGGAGACCGCACTGGAGCTGTGTGGGGGGGGGGCGACCTTAGGAATCCCCACTCTTGCAGCTGTGTGTCTTCCTGTTTTGTCACCATGGTGATAGTGACTTCAGCCCTCCACTCCCCGCCACGGTGGGTGGAGTGGGAGAGTACGGGTTCAATTATTCCCCCAGGGGGCGTGATCTTTGTGCCGGCTCCGCCCTGGGGCGGGGCTGGGATAGCCCGGGCTCGCTGGAGTCCTGTTCCAGTCCAGAACCCTGAGCTCCGGCCCCGCCCCCGGCCGCCATCCCCACCCAGCCCGCCATCCCCACCCAGTCCGCAGACCCTTCTAGTCTGCAGCTGTCGCCTCTGCTTCATTCAGCTCAGCAGCCACAAGCTGGTGAGGTGAGGCTGCGGTGATTCCGAGGGCGGGGGCAGCAGTCCAGGATTCTTGGGTGCAGGAGGAGAAATGGGCTGGGATTCACAATGTCTGAGTCCCTCGAAAGACTGGGGCTGGGCCAGATTCGGGCTCTGGAGAGGAGAGGGCTGGGGACCTGGACTCCTACAAGTCATACGTCTGAACGGAGAAGGGGAACAGGGGCCTAGACCCCTGGGCCTGAGGGAGGAGGGGCTGGGGGTCTGGACCCCTGAGTCTGAGGGGGAGGGGCTGGGGTCCTGGATCCCTGTGTCTGAGGGAGGAGGGGGTGGGGGCCTAGACCCCCGGGTCTGATGGGGGAGGGGCTGGGGGGCCTGGACTCCTGGATCTGAGGGAGCAGAGGGATGGGGACTCCTAGGATCCCAGTTTGAAGGGGCTGGAATGTGGTTCGGAGAGGTCCTCAGGAGGCGGGGAGCTTGGAGTGGGAGTCCTGAGTTTGGGAAAGAGTGGCCTGGGGTTGAGAATTATCGACTTCCCAATCTTGGGGACAGAACTCGAACTTGGACTGGAAAGGCCGGGGCTGAGGTCCAGCACCCGTGCTCCAAAGCGCGGACGGAGCTGGGAAGCTGGGCGCGTTAAGACGGAGACAGAACAAGGCTGAGATCAGCGTCCCCGGATGTGGAGCGCACAGGCTGGGATCCCCGGGTGCGATCCTCAGTCTGCAGGGCGGAGGGGTGGGGTGCAATGCCTGGAGGTGGGGAGATGGCAGGCTGTGGCCCGGGGAGTCCTGAATTGCGCCGAGAAGCCGGAGGGGTGTTACTTTTCCTCCTCGGGGCCCGGCCGCCCATTCCCGATCTCTGTGTCAGGCCATCCCCAAGGTGGCCCCAGTGTTAACCGCCATCCACGCGACACCACGGGAGCCCTGGCCCGGCCTCTTCCTCCTGGGCAGTCCGGACTTCCTCCTAACGGGTCCTCGAGGGAGGGGCGTGGGGGCGGCACCTGCCAGGTGTCCTGGGACACCGCCCTTCCTGGAGCTGCTGAGTGGTGTGGCTGCGTATCTCTGTACTGAGCCTCTCGCCAGGCGCACACAGGGATTAAGGTTCCCGGCCACTCCTCTTGGGGGGGGGGCAGGTGTCCAGCCCATCCTCCTGGGGACCCAGAACTCACATGTTGGACGTCCCAGAAACGTAGGTGCCAAGCCTTTCCAACTACAACCTGGAGTCCCGGTTCTCTGCGCCTTCCCCCTCTTCTCCCAAACCGACAAGCGTGGTGGGTCATCCCAGAGGCCAGCGCGCGGCTGGGGTCCCAGCGCCGCCTACTGTCCCCCGCCACTGTACTGCTGGCTGGGCTGACTTGAAGTCCTTATAAGGCCCGGAGACACGGCGCCGGCTGGCCCGGCGCCCGGCAGCCCCGCCGCCTCTGCCCAGGGCCCTCCCCCGCGGCTGCCCGGGGGGTTGGGTGACGCTCACTCACGCCCACGCTCGCCCGAGGGGCGTGCCCTTTCGCTTTTCCGCCTCAGCTGCACCGCCGCGGTTTGGCGGCTCCGGAGACAGTGGGGCTGCCCTGGGGTCACGCCACCCAACTCTGGCCCTGTGGGGAGGTGCGCCCGGGCTGATGGAGCGTCTACTAGGCGGTTGGCGGGAGCCTCCCACCGAGGCCCGCCAGCGGCCTGGGAGGGCGGAGCTGGGGCTGAGCTGGACGCTGAGGTTCTCCCTCCCTCTTATGCTTTGACTAACCTTTTCCAGGTGTCTGACTTCATCCGCCTCCGCAGCCCGATCTTTCTCTGTCGGGGTCCTCAGCTAAGACCGCTGGTGAGTGGACTGGAGGCCTGGACTCCCCGGGCCGAGCGGGGAAGGGCTGAGGGCCTGGACTCCAGGGTCTCAGGGGGTAGGGGTTGGGGTGGTGGGAGTCTTAAATATTTTGGTCTGAGAGGATGAGACTGGGGTTCGATGCCTAGATCCTTCGGGAAGTACCTGGGAGCTTGGTTTCCGAGGAGTCGTGGGGCCCCAACACCTGTGTGTGGGAGGAAGGAGTGTGTCGTGGAGCTGGGCTCCTATGTCCTCAGGGAGCCACTGTGCAGGGATGGCAGGGCCTAAGTGGTTAAAGCTTGTTATACTGGCTCCTGACGCTGGAAAGAGGAAGTTTTAGTTCCCTGTGGCTGAGAGAGGCCTTCTGAGCTTTTTAGAGATGGCAACACCCCTAAAGAGGTGTTGAGATGTGAGACATTTCAAAGGCCTGAGAGAGGATCTGATCCCCAACACACTGGAGATGCCAAGGCTGTAGGTTGGGGAGAGAGTGAAGCCGGAAGCTGATTTCCCTGAGTGCAGGTGTGTCTGGTTGTTGTGGGCTGAAGGCCCAGAATCCCGAAGTGTGAAGCTGTATAAGGAGCAAGTGAGGGGAGGAGAGGCCTAGAGAGTTCAGTGGAAGGGCCAGGGCGCTGCCCTGTTGAGAATCTGGGAGCTGAATTTCCATGAAGGTGGGGGACTAGCTGGCTGGGACCCTGAGGGGGTTGGACTCCCTGCGGGGGAGGGGGATAGGCATGAGGAAGCCCCACTTCCTTTAGGTTGAAGTTCTCAGACAGAACTCCCAGGCAGGAGTCACACTGGTGATCTCTGAGTGGGGAGCGGGGCAGAGACTGCTGGGGGAGAGGGTGCTGTTCAGAGGCTGGAGCTAGTTCCAGGGACTGGCTGGAAGCTCTGATCAGATGTGAGTCCCTGAGGATGCTCGCACGTGGAGGTTGCACTCCTGAACTTTGGGACGTGGGAAATATCTAGGCCTGTTAGGTGAAGGAGGAAGTTGGAGATGAGGGCTGAGATGCAGAGCCCTGGGAACTCAAAAAGGGGGAAAGCAGAGAGAGAGAGAGAGAGAGATGGGTTGTTATGGGGACAGAGCCTCTTCTGTCAGGGGTGGTGGGGGAGGTAGGGAAAGGGATGCTTTAGAACCTGGTCTTAAATGCTGGGTGACTGAGTCTCTGGGGCAAGGAGGGCAGCTTTGGATGTCCATTGGAAGAAAGCTCTGTTAATTTATTTCCTTATTTATATTGAATTTATTGGAGTGACATTGGTTAATGGACTTATATAGGTTTCAGGAGCACAATTCTATAATAACATCATTGATATATTGTATTGTGTGTTTACCACTCCAAGCCAAGTTTCTTCCCATCACCATTTACCCCGTCTTTATCCTCTCCTACCTCCTCCCACCCCAGAAGCTCTGTGGTTTTATAAGAGGTGGGTTACAGGGAGAGGAAAGGAGTGTCTTGACAAGGAGAGAACTAGGAGCTGGACTCCTGAGTTCTGACATGAGAGGAGGAACACCTGAGGCCAGAGGAAAGGAGGGGCCTGGGACCTGGTTATTAGCCAAGTCATCCTAGTAGGCCTGGGACTGTCCCAGTTTGAAAACTGAAAGACCTGAATCTGGGAAACCCACTCCAGCTACAGTCCAGGTTCCTTTGTCCCCCTGGGATGGGGGGGGCAAAGAGGCTGGGAGCCTAGATTCTCCCAGTTGGAACCTCCTTAAGGCATTGTCTTTCCCCCTCCTGCAGCCATGCCGGTGACAGTGACCCGCACGACCGTCACAACCACCACCACGTCATCTTCAGGCCTGGGCTCCCCGACCATCCTGGGGTCCCCTCGGGCACTGACCCAGCCCCTGGGCCTCCTCCGACTGGTACAGCTGCTTTCCACTTGCGTGGCCTTCTCATTGGTGGCCAGTGTGAATGCTTGGTCAGGGTTCGCCGGTCACTGGTGTATGTTCTCCTGGTGCTCCTGCTTTGCCGTGACCCTCATCATCATCATTGTGGAGTTAGGTGGGCTCCAGGCTCGCTTCCCACTGTCCTGGCGCAACTTCCCCATAACCTACGCCTGCTACGCCGCCCTCTTCTGCCTCACGGCCTCCGTCATCTACCCTACCATCTACGTCCAGTTCCTGTCTCACGGCCGCTCAAGGGACCATGCCATCGCCGCCACCTTCTTCTCCTGTGTCGCTTGTGTGGCTTATGCCACTGAGGTGGCCTGGACCCGGGCCCGGCCCGGCGAGATCACTGGCTACATGGCCACGGTGCCAGGCCTGCTCAAAGTGGTCGAGACCTTCGTGGCCTGCATCATCTTCACCTTCATCAGTGAGCCCAGCCTGTACAATCAGAAGCCGGCCCTGAATTGGTGCGTAGCCGTCTACGCCATCTGCTTCATCCTGGCTGCCGTGGCCATCCTGCTGAACCTGTGTGACTGCACCAACGTGCTCCCCATCCCCTTCCCCACGTTCCTGTCCGGGCTGGCCCTGCTCTCTGTCCTCTTCTATGCCTCTGCCATGGTCCTCTGGCCTCTCTACCAGTTCGACGAGAGGTACGGTGGCCGTCCAGAGCGGCGGAAGGATGTTAGCTGCCAGAACAAGCACAGCTCCTATGTGTGCTACTGGGACCGCTGCCTGGCTGTGACCATCTTGACGGCCATCAACCTGCTGGCTTATGTGGCCGACCTGGTGTACTCGGCCCGTCTGGTTTTTGTCAGGGTCTGAGGCTCTGACCAGGAAGAAGCTCCCGAATCCCACTTCTTTCCCCGGGTGTCTTTAATGAGTTCTGATTTCCTCTGATGTCCTCTTCCTGGGTCCCTCTTTTCCCCTTCTCTTCTCTTTCCCATTCAGCTCACTGTCTCCTATCTCTTTCACCTGCTCCCCCCTGTCCTGATGCTCTGCCTCCTTCTTTTACTGCCTTTTTTTTTTTTTTGGTTGCTCACATCCTGTTTTGCCTTTCTCTTTTCACTCTCTTTTCTACTTAGTGTGTTGCTTGGTTCTTTTCTGGTCATCCTGTTGGTGTTCTCACCTACCTTCTTTCCTGACTGCTTCCCATTTTCCTTCTTTCAATATCCTCGGGAGCCCTGAGACTTCTCTGTTCACCCCCCCACTGCCACCCCCCACTCCAAAGGTGCTGAGCTCCACATCCCACACCCCTCTTCACAGCTGTTCAGACCCTGGGCCCCCTGAGGGGCCTCATTGCCAAAGCATGTGCCCACCCTGGCTGTGCCTTAGTAGGTGTGTGTGTATGTGTGTATGTGTGTTTGGGGGGTGGGGTGGGTGGGTAGCTATGGATTGGCCTCCCTTTCTCCCAGTGGAAGGGGGTATACAGTGCACCTCTTTTTTAAGTTAAAAAAATGCCTGGAGGTTAATAATTTCTAGTGTGTGGGAGGCTTAAATCACAGACCCCGACTGCTTAGTCCCTGCCCGACACTCAGCCTTACCTGAGATTGGCTCCAGAATTTTTGCCAGGCTTAGTAAAACCTTGTGCCTAGAGGCCCTCTTAAAGAAAGCAGAGAGTGATGGATGCCTTCCACCCCAGCTGCTCTCTGGATGTCAAGATTCCTGAAGTGTTTGTGAGGGGCAGGCATGTGGGGCTCCAGCTGTAGTATTAAAAACAGCATGCACTGCCTTTGCAGGGGTGGGGGGAATGACCACTGCTAGCCTTACTCAGACTGGTAGCCAGGGTTTTTCCTTCTTCCTGTCACAAGGGCAGACATTACTGGGTGGTCCTATTCTTAAAGGGGAAGTTTCTTTTCCATTGAAAAAAAAAAATTTGTGGGTGGGTTGGGTAAGTGGGGATTGCCATTGCCCTAGTGAGGATTTGCACTGCTTGAGTGTGTGACACACGCATGTTTCTGTGTGCTAGGTGCTTCCTGCTGCTACTTCCTGCTTCTCTGGAACCCACACCCATAACATGATATATATATATAAATGTACAAATATATATTTTATTTTTTTTAATTCCTTGGAGCTTCTGGTTCCCATCAGCCTCTGCCGTCAACTACAGAGGGAAGCCTTGTCCCTTCCTCCACTCCCACACTCGTCATGTTCTTTATTTTATTTTTTACCTCAATATAAAGATAAAAGGAAGGCTTGTGCTTGTGTTATTATAGGGGAGGGCTCCAGGAGGGTAGGGCAAGGCCCAGATTCCTAGGTCTGGTGGGAGAAAGGGGTGTCTCAAACCAGGAGAACTACTTAGGATAGAAATGAACAAGATTTCTCCGTCCTTGGAGACCCATGGCCACCTCAGAAATACAATGTCCCAACCCGAATGCAGCATCTTTCTTTCAAAATTAATTCTTGCAGATTCCCCACCTTGGTATTAGCCTCTCAGAGCTGAGGACCCAGGCACTTTTTCTTCCTGGCCCCTTTCTCAGTCAGTTATTAATCAAACACTTTATATATATATATATTCCCTTATCCAGGTTCCTGACCCAGCTCAGGTTTCCTTGTTTTGCACCAGAGCTATTGCCCCAGTCTTGTCCCTCACCATCCTACCTCCAGCCCTTGGGTGCTCCCAACACCCAGGTGGGATCCTACCCTCCTTGCTCACATCCTTCCATAGCCCACTCGACCTAGCCTACGGGTAACACCAAAACCCCTCGGTCCGGCATTCAAGGCTTTCAGGATCTGACCCTGCCTACATTCCACTCTCGCTTCTTTTTCCGTTCTTCCCCCCACCCCCCACTCTCAGTTCTAAGCCCCCTGTTACACCTGGTCAATAGACGGCCTTGATAAAGAGCAAATGAGTTTCTGTCCCACAGAAAGTCATCCTGCCCCTTTCTCCAGACCCAGAATCATAAATATATAAATCTGAGGAACTGCCAGAATCGTGCCACCCAATTTCTGCACCGACACCTGTGAAAGCAGTTGGGAAGAGGAACTGCAAGGGTGGGGAGGGTCTCACCGGAAGAGTGGGGGGCCTACCTAGTACAGAGGCACCCCATTTGATGACGTATAGCCTCTTATCGCTGCAGTGTCCACCCCAGAATTCTGACCTGCATCTACCCCTGTCTCCTCAAAGGTCGTCTCCTACCCTCCTAGCTGGGGGTGTCTCTCCCCACCCCCACCCCATGCTTGAACCCCTTCTGGAAGGCGCCAGAATGGGCCGCTCGAGCAGCCAGGGGTGGAACGTAGATGACGGGGAAGAACCCCGGGAGCACTGGAACCGAGGGCGGTGGGATTCCGAGGTCAGTTTCCAGGGCCACTCCTGCCCCCATCTACTCTGGGGCATGGCAGATGCCCGGGGTTGGCTGGAAGGCGAGAGGACTCTCTCTCGCCTCTCCTTTGATTTTGGAAAGGGGTACCCGGATCCCAAAAAGTGCGGTGGGAGTCCCGAGTCGCCAGGCACCGCCGCAGCGCCCCGCTCTGCTTTGCTTCGAGGAGCATGCCGGGAGAGGAAGTTCTCGACCGCCTCGTGACCTCAGGCCGTCCCCAGGATCAAACTACACGCCCCAGGATGCATTGCGCCCCGCAGCCCGGGCGGCCGTGGTTGCCGTGGGCAACAGCGGAGCTCTGAGCGAGCCCTGCGAAGCTCCCTGGAGCTGAAGGAGGGACGGAGCGCGACCAGAGAGGGACAGAGAAGCTGGCGGAGTGACGGAAGGGGGCGGGGGAGGAGACCCCCCAGGGCCGATGTTTGGAGAGACCTCTCCCAACGCCGGAACAGATGCTATTTTTAATACTAGAACTCCAGAGCCGGAGAGGGCCAAGGACTGAATCCCAGAAAGGGGGGCGGGGGGGGGGGAGAGAGGCGCGCCCCTCCCCAAGAGACAGAGAGATTCATAGAATCAGAGAGACAAGTAGAGAGTGGGTGAGAAAAGCACAAAGATGGTGGGGGGCGGGATCAGGAGACGGAGAGAAACTCCCCCACCCAGCAACAGAGGGGAAGGATTGGGTCTAGAGAAGCACGGGCAGAGAGAGATAAGAAGAGACCAGCACGAGCAGAGAGGGAAAAAGGAAACATTTCCCAAGACGGAGAGAGGGAAAGATGGCCAGGATTTAGAGACCGAGAGACAGAGAGAGAGAGGATTTAGGGAGAGACCCCCAGCAAGAGGGAGGCGGGAACACACGACCTACAGAAAGGCAGTGAGATCAAGACCCAGACAGGGTCACAGGATGAGTGACAGATACAGATGGGAAAGAAAAAACCCCCAGAGAAACAGAAATCCTCAGAGACTAGAAGAAACAACGACCCACTCAGAGAACGTGCGCGCCCGGCATCCGGGGAGCGCAGCAGCCACCGAGAGCGACGCCCCCAGCGGGAGACCCAGACGCAGACCTGCACAGAGGCCCCGGGAGAGGAGTCAGGACTCAGGTGGCGGCGGAGAGAGTGAGACGCCAAGCCTCCCCGCTCGCGGGCGGATCCCAGCACCGAAGGAAAAGTTTCTGGGTGGAAGCAGAGTGGCGCCGTCAGAAACGCAGAGATCCGAGAGGGGTCGCAGTGGGCTACGGGGAGCCGCAGCGGCGCCCGAGTCCGGAAGGAAGGCGGGCCAGGCGACAGATTGGGGTGGGGGAGGGCACGGCTCCCAGGATGCCCCCCCTTTCAGCCAGCCCCCGAGGCGGAGCGGGGGTGCGCACGTGTATATGTGTGTGTCGGGCGGGGGAGGGCGCGTTAGGAAGAGGATATTTGGACATTTGTCCTGTGTTCAGGGAGGGGAACGCCTTTAAGCAGAAACCCCGCCCCTCGGTCGTCATGGCAACGCCTACCCCCACCCCGGGCTCCCACATTTCAGCAGGTGCCCGAGCCCGAGCTCCCACCACCGCCGCCCGTGCCTCCGGCTGCGCGCACCCCTGCCCTAGGCTCTGCGCTCCGCTCGCCCGCTCCCTTTGGGCGCGCCCGGGGGCCGCTGCCGGTGCTGCACGCTAGCTCCTGGAGGTGCCTCACCCCTCTCCTCCCTTCCTCGGGATCTCCCCGTGGCTCCTCGGCTTTCCCGAGTCTCCGGCTCCTCGCCCTTCCACCTGTTCCCCCAAAAAGGCAGGATCCTGGTCCCTGCGACGTTCTTGGGGCCATGGCAGGCCTGGGCCCCGGTGGAGGCGATTCAGAGGGCGGGCCCCGGCCCCTCTTTTGCAGAAAGGGGGCTCTGAGGCAGAAGGTGGTCCACGAAGTCAAGAGCCATAAGTTCACCGCTCGCTTCTTCAAGCAGCCAACCTTCTGCAGCCACTGCACGGACTTCATCTGGTGAGGGAAGGGGGCTGGGGGCCTGAGGGACGAGGGGACCAGGGGTCGAGACCCCCTGTCTCACCAGATTCCTGAGTAATGAGGAAAGAGGGGGCTGTGAGTAGTCCTGGCTTCTGGTCCCAGGGCAGGAGGAGTCTGGGAGCCAAGACTCCTGGATCCGAGGGAGGAGGCACTGAGGGTCCTGGGCTCCGGGGTCTGAGGGAGGAGGGGCTGGGCGCCGGAATTTCTGGGTTCTAGAAAGACGAGGCGGCTAGGGCTTGGACTCTTGGCTCCCGAGGGAGGAGAGCCAGAGGCCGCCTGTGGGGCTCACAGATGTGACGGGATTCTGGTCGCCCTTTTCTCTACTAACCCCGGGTCCTCGACTCTTGCAGGGGAATTGGAAAGCAGGGTCTGCAATGTCAAGGTAAGACCTGGCGACCTGGACTCCTGGGACCCTCAAGAGGGTGGAGGCTGGGGCCCCATAGCTGAGGCTCCTTGACACACGTGTTCTCTGGTCCCCAGAGAAGCGCGGGGGAGCCCGGGGCGGGGGGTGTGGCAGAGACACAGCTTGTGGTGGGGAGGGAGCTCTAATGGTGGGGCCACCGCGGAGGTGGTGCTGGGGGCCCCTCCCTTGGCCGGCTCCAGGTGGGGACAGATATTTGGAGAATCTGTTGCCATGGGAACAGGGAGATTTGGAAAAGGGGAGCTGAAGGGGGGGCTGAAGATGCCAAGTCAGAGCCCCACCCCCAGGCTGCCGTCACCATGACAACATCAACCGTCCTAGGCAGGGGCAGGCCGGGTGGGGTCACCAATGAGCGGGTGGGGACCGGGTGGGGCCGGCAGTTCTGGGGGGCGGAAAGGGGGGGCGAGTCCTAAAGCACCAGCTGCTACTCTGAGAACAGAGTGAGTCAGGGAGCAGGGCGACCGCAGAGGCGCCCCCAGACTCACTTCTGCCCAAGTTGCGGCTCTCTGTTTTGTCCGAGGACATCCCCGTGCGCTTTCTCTCTTTCCTCTACCTCCTTCTCTCCTCCCTCGCTCCTCTCTTTCTGGGCCTGGGCCGGGGCCTGGGTCTGTCCGTGGGATCCTCTGTGCTCTCTCTGTCTCTTTTTCTGTCTTTCTGTCTCTGTCTCTGCGTGTGTGCTCTGTGCTCTGTGTTTCTCTCTCTGATTCTTTGCCTCTCCGTTTCTGTCTTTGAGTCCATCTCTTGAATTTCCATCTGCTAGTTTTTCATCTCTGTTTCTCTGCTTGTGAAGCTTCCCTTTTGATTTACTCTCAGTTGAACTCTATCTATATGGGATCTATCTCTCTCTATCTGGTTTTCTTTTTGTCGGGCTCGCCCCCGCCCCTCTGATTTTCTATCCCTTAGGGTCTCTCTCTGTCTCTGTGTCTCTGTGATTCTCACCTTCAGTCTGCAGCTTTGTGGTTCATCGGCGATGCCACGAATTTGTGACCTTCGAGTGTCCAGGCGCTGGGAAGGGCCCCCAGACGGACGTGAGTGCCCAAACACCTGGTTATTCCTCCTCAGGCCGCGCCCCCTCCCTCACCCCCTAGGCGTCCGTCCCAATTTCTCCTGCTATTTTTAAGGCTGGGAGGGGAGGGGGGCTGGAGAGATAGAGAGAGCTAGTCTGGCCCAGATTCTCTGCCCTTGGCCTGGAAAGGGGGAATCAGAGAGGACTGAGACAGGCTGGAGACACAGGTGGGGGACAGAGAGGAGGCAGAGGTGAGGGGACCAAAGACTGGCACTGGAGGAGGTAGCTGGGCTGTGAACCAGTGCTCAAGACATTTAAAACGAGAAAGCCGAGGGAGAGAAATATTGATGCAGGCCCCAAGATCCTGAGATAAGAAGAGAGGGAATCTCAAAAATGCAGAAAAAGATAGAGACCCAGAGAGAGAGAGAGACTGAGGCAGAGAGAGAGAGAGTGAGAGCAAGTGA